TCAATCACCAGCACTAAAACAATCAACAAATGGCCTAAGGATTGGCTGGATTTTTTTTTAAAGATTTATTTATTATGTATACAGTATTCTCAATATTCTGTCTGCAAGTATGCCTGCAGGACAGAAGAGGGCACCAGACCCCATTACAGATGGTTGTGAGCCACCATGTGGTTGCTGGGAATTGAACTCAGGACTGTTGGAGAAGCAGGCAGTGCTCTTAACTACTGGGCCATCTCTCCAGCCCAATTGGCAGGATTTGTTGTTAATTTTCCAAAAATTTCCCCTCTCTGCCTGTTTGAAAATCTCAATCCTTTTGCTATTAACATAATTACATGTTAATAGTCATATTCTGAGTGACTCAGTGTTGCCTTAAGAGACTGTGAAGCCTATAAATGCCGAAGACATTTCCGACACAAGGTTCTTAGAAAACTTCAGTTCTCTCTCTGCCCTTCCTGATGACATCCTCATTTTATGATAGCTTACTTTAAAAAAAAAAAAAAAGCAGATTAGAGGGGTGAGAGCCAAAACTCAGTGGTTCGAGAATGCTTCCTGCTGTTCCAGGGGACCTGAGTCTGATTTCCAGCAACCACAACTGCCTCTAACTCCAGCTCTCGGGTCTCCAACACCTTTGTCTTTTGAGGACACCCGCAATCATGTGCATGTACTCACACACAGCTACACACATGCACATCATGTTTTTAACATCTCAAAATGAATGAGGGTTTATCTGTGTTCTTAGATGTTGCATTTCCTTTTACTGCTGCTTGCTATGTGGGCCTACACTGTCGCTTTCCTTCCTTTTCATCACATTGCACACCTTCAGAATTGCCACCGATGTGACATACTGGTGAAAACCTCTCTGTTTCTATGTTCTACAAATATACTGATTTTTCTGAATACTATTGTGATGGACATTGATTGCCGTAAGGGCATCAGATTACCAAGCACAGGGTTTCTGTAAACATCCCTCTGCTGGTTGTAACTTCAGATGACAAGCATCCATCAGCACGCTTTGGTGCCCATCTCAGTAGAAAAGACAACAGATGGAAAAAAACCTTTCCTCAGAGTGCAAAGGCAGCCAAAGGTAATTATTATGTCTAATGAACACTTCCTTTCTTAAGTTTTAGAAAGGTTTTTGTTTGTTTATTTATTTTTTTTTGTTTGTCTTTTCGAGACAGGGTGTGTCTGTGTAATAGCTTTGTCTGTCCTGGAACTTGCTCTCTAGACCAGGCTGGCCTCGAACTCACAGAGATCCACTTCCCTTTGCTCTGCTCCCCACTAAGTGCTGGGATCAAAGGCGTGCGCCACCACCGCCCAGCAATGGTTTAATTTCTACAGCTGGAAACTAAATACAGCCCTTTCAGAGTCCTTGGAGCTCTTATAATTGGAAAGCCCTTCTTCTAGCCCCTTGTTTGCAGCCTGGGCCCAGGGATAAGCTATACTTCCTATAAAGTTTAAGCCATCTTAGCAGTTCTTCCTCTGAGCCTCACATGAAGCATCCCTAGTGTTCTTCTGGGATCTAACCTGAGAATCTTTGTATGATCTACAATTTTGAGTCAATGTCTGATATCTAGCCTTCACCTATTCCGATGGCACCATGAAGGACCCACTGTAGACCACCAGATCTAAAGAGGAAGCGAATTCAAAGGCAGAAGAAGATTCTTCTTAGAGGCCAGATTCGGGGGTGGTGGTATTGGGGCACAGAAACATATGCTTGACAAGAACTCGCAAGCTGCTGCCGGCCTTGCCCCAACTGCGTGAGGTGAGTAACTTGTCTCAGTTACTGTTCTACTGCTGGGAAAGCACCCCATGACTGTCTTCATCACTGTGCTCTTGCTGTGAAGAGACACCCGACCAAGGCAACTTATAAAAGAAAACATTTAATTGGGGTGCCTTATAATTTCAGAGGTGTATCCTGTTATCACCATAGTGAGGAGCGTAGCAATATGCAGGTAGACTAAGACAGCTATTTAGTTGAGAGCAGTGTTATTATGTACAGGGAGAGAGAGAGAGGAGAGAGAGAGAGAGAGAGAGAGAGAGAGAGAGAGAGACACTAGGCTTGGCATGGGTTTTTGAAACCTCAAAGCCACTCCAAGTGACACACTTCCCCTAACAAGGCCACACTTCCTACTCCTTCTCAAGTAGGGACACTCTCTGATGACCAAGTATTCAAATATATGAATCTCTGGGGCCATTCTTACCCAAATCACCACAATGGCTGATACAACTTGTAAAAGAAAACGTTTAATTGGGAGCTTGCTTACAGTTTCAGTGGGCGCAACCATGACCAGCATGGAGGGGAGCAAGGCGACAGGCAGACAGACATGGCACTAGGGCAGTAGCTGAGAGCTTAGATCCCATCCAGGGAAAGCAAGACTGAGCATGGAGGGAGCTTTTGAAACCTCGAAGCCTGGCTCCCAGTGACAAACTCCTCCCACAAGGCCATCACTCCTAATCCATCCTAAAACTGTTCTAACAGGGACCAAGCATTCAAATATATGAGCCTATGGGAGCCATTCTCGTTCACACCACCACACAGCCATCTTCCATCTGCCTCCAGCACTGAGCTGCTCCTTCTCTGGGTCCAGGGAAGACGAATCCAGAAGAAAAGTCACCCGAGAGGCCAGAGAAGAAGAGCACAACAACTGAACTGAAGCAGGTGAGTTCTCTGAGTGGCAGTGCCGTCATTGTCAAATCGTGCCCTGTTTCATTTTTAAGACAGACTCCCATACAGCTCGGACTGTCATTGAACTGACTGTGACGACAAAGACGATCTTGAACTTCTGATAGTCTTGACTATACCTCTCAAGTGGGATTACAGGCATGTCTCGTCATATCCGGCCTAAACTGGGTTTTATGTCACAAACACAAACATGAAGGAGGAAGAGAATGCAGGAAAATACAGCACAAGAGTACAGGAATGTTTATAAGCACTAGTGACCCAGACCAGTTAAAAAAAAAGTATGCCTTAGAAAAATATGCAGCCTATAGTCATATTTCTACAGTCCTTCATTGTCTGCTTTTCTGGCTCCTGGTCAGTCTCTAGAGCTCTTAAGCAAGCCACGGCGTGGTTCCTTAGTGGGACAAGGGCTCATAACTCCAGGATTCTGGGGGCTTACAGTATCAGGAATCGCTTCCAGCTGCTGTAGATGCAACAGCAGCTGGATGTCCGGGCCCAGAAGCTCAGGTTTTATCAGCCCTTGGTGTTACCAGCTCAGTCTGCTGTATCTGTGACAAAGACCACAAGTCGGCAATACACGACCACCCAGGGAAGCATTTATTAGGCTGGATGCTGTCAATCCAGGAAAAATACCCCAGAGAAACCTCCGGGGTTAAGCTGACAAAACAGAAAAAGGCACATGACACACTCCTCCCTGAAGTATAATTCTACCAACCACAGTCTTGCATATTCAAAGCTCTCAGTTCTACCATTCATGAACTTTACATAGGCAATGACCACAGGATCTGTTTGGGAAACTATTAAAAACTTTGTAGTATAACAATCACAGGGTATTTCCACCCCCCACCCCTGAGTTAAACAACTGCGGGGTGAAGTAGAAGGAATACAAGCGTCCGAATCCCTGCAAGCTGTGTCTGGAGAAGCCGTGCTTACAGAGCAGGTGTAGTGACTTTCCTCCAAGTACCTATGGCTGCAGCGTCCTTGCAACTGGAGTGGGGTTTCCACGGAGAGCCATGGCTGTTCAAAGTAGAACAGCCTTGCGTGTTGTCTGGCTGTTGTCAAAGGGACCAATTGGCTGAGAGCTCCCTCATTAAGGCAGACAGGTAGAAGGGAAGGATCTGACAGTTGTCATCCCAGGGAACTGATAGCTTACACCAAGCAAACTTTAAAAGATGCTTATGATACAGATGAAAGAAATGAACATTTCTGTAGTAATATCCAACAATGTTTAACCTGGACATCGTGATCCATGCCTGTAATAGCGATAACTGGGAGGCTGAGATAGGAGGATTGTCCCTAGCTTCAGATCAGCCTGGGCTATGATGGAAGTTCCAGACCAGCCTGGGATATAGTATGAGGGAGACCCTGTCTCAAAACAACAATAACGACAAAGCAAACAAACAAAATAAAATAAAACAATAACTAACCCTAACCACGTGCCCTTAGGGAGAGCTGGGCCCTTCTGATAATTTAAACCTTAGAATCAGCTACATCATCCGTTAAAATTATAAAACAAAAAAGCATGCTCTACGCTCCGAAGTAAACCAGAATCCCCAGAGACCGGATCCAAGAATCTGCCTGTGTTCCTATCAATATCCAAAAAAATGTTTTGTTTTGTTTCCCATATACATTGAACCAGGGTCTCATGTACGTCACAGGCTGATCTTGAACTACCTATGTAGCTAAAGCAGGTCCTTAATTCCTGATCCGACTAGCCGCGCCCCCCCCCCCCCCAAGTGCGGCTATAGCAAGCATTAACCACCACAGGTAGCTTCAAAACAGCTTTCAACAGGGTCTTATGTAGCTCAGACTGGCCTCGAATTTCTGACTCACTTGCCCCTCCCTCCGTAGAGAGCTGGACTGCAGATGTACGTCACCCTACCAAGCAATTCTGAGGCAGCCAGCTAAGGAGCCTCATACCAACCCTCTTTTAATGTTTTTACCTGATTTGGGTTCTACCTTGTCGTACATACACATCTCAAGACACAATACTGAGCCAAGGGAGAAAGGAAGAGGCAGAAGGCAAGGGTGGAGGGAGTCAAAAACTCTGGGTACAATGCAAATTGGCTCTCTAAACTAGCCCGGCAGCGCTGGCTGCAGAGGCCTGTTGCGTCTTTTCCTCCTTCTTCTCCCCCGCTACCCCCCCTCTAGCCTCCCCCCCAGCCCGACCCTTGGGCTAGGGACCGCCCCCACATTCCACTGATTGGCTCTCTTGGCCCGCTCGTCACACTCTTTTGTGTGTTGGTAGGCAGCTGATAAAAGCGCTGCAGTGGACCTGGGAACTGCGCAGCTTGAATTCGGTTACCTCTGGGTAGGTGGCTGGGTGAAGCAGCTCTTTCTGGTAGCTTCGGGTCGCTTAGCTCTGGAAGCACCAGCCCTTTTTCTCCTGCAGGGTAACCCGACTGAAAGGCGGATTCCGTAGCTGAAGGCGTTGCAACAGCTGCTGGCCAGAGGCAGATCGCAGGTAAAACAAAAAACAAAAAAAAAACAAAAACGGGGTGGGGGGGAGGGACGCGAGTCCTTGGTAGGGGGTTGGGAGAAAGGGGGGAGGGGAAGCCCGCGGGTCCTAGGTGGCTCCTGCCTTGGAGAATCAGCAATTGCGAAGCGGAGGAAGGAGCATTTGCATGGCCTGAGTGCTTTGGAAGACACCTGGAAGATGACACTTGGTAGGATTTGCCTGGCTGGGGAAGGGGTTGAGGGAAGAGGCCACCTGGAAGATGAGGGAGAAGGAATTATGTTTGCCTCGAACCCCCTATGCATCTCCTCTAATTTCCCTGGGCACTGTGGGGGTGGGTGTGTCCAATTCATGTTCCCTTTCTCAGTAGCAGCTCATCAAAGCGGAAATCTGAACTTGAATTCGGTGCAGCTGATTGTTAGAGCTGGGTAGGCTAATGGTGTCTTGGGGTGCAATGCGTGTCTGGGGGGGGTTATCGTTTTAGATTGTATTTAGAAGGTTCGAGAGGGAATTTTCTGCCTGGTGACAGCAGAAGGGGGCGGGAGAAGAGGGAGGGGGAGGGTGCATCAAGATGACGATGACGATGGAGTCCGTTTCTGACACTTCCCTTCTCTGATGTGGCGCAGTCTTGAAGTCCTGAGCTCCAGGATCTGTGAGGCCCTGTGGACCGAGATCTACCCTACCCTGGAGGCCAGCTTTCTCCTGGAAGGACACAGGTTGCAGAGGCTGGAAATACAGGCTCACTCCAGCGTCCTAGCTAGTATGTAAGCATCTGAGAAATCACGGGGTGGAGGGTGGGGGTAATGGTCTGGGAGCTTTGAGGGGGGCAGTGTGGTTAAGATCAGAGATCATGAGATCTCCTTTTAACCCCTGTGAATTTGCTTTATTTTGAGAGCCCGACCTCAGTTCCACACAGTGTTAAATCTACAGTCGAAGCAACAGTTGCCCTCCCTCTCCCAGGACTGGCAGGAGGGTATGGATGTCGTGACTGTAAAAAGCACTCCGTTAGTACAGAAAGATCAGCTAGCTCCAGGGGGCTCCAATTGGTCTCCTCCCCAGTATTTTAAGGACAGTGGAGAGATATATGGGCTATTGAGGTGCGATAATTACAACTCTAGCCTGTTCCTTTATTAATCCCCCTCTCGCTTTATTTCTTGCAGCTCCTACTGAGATTCGAGACTGCCGCGTGACTGAAGAAAAAGCGATTTTTCTAAAACTTCCTGTGCATCACATATTAAGATATCCTAAAGCCGTTGTCAGCCATGACTAGCCTCCTTTCACGTTTGGCTAACAGCCGGGGGCAGAACCCACCCCTGCCCCCTTGGGCTCATACCATGATGAGGTCCCTGGGCAGGAGTCTCGGTCCGCTAATGGCCAGCATGGCAGAGAGAAACATGAGGATGTTCTCTGGGAGGGTAGAGCTAACTCAGGGGGAAGAAACCTTTGAAAACTGGCTGAGCCAAGTCACTGGGGTCCTGCCTGATTGGCATATGTCTGAGCAGGAAAAGGTCAGGCGCCTAATGAAAACCCTTAGGGGCCCTGCCCGGGAGGTCATGCGTTTGCTCCATGCTTCCAATCCCGGCCTGAATGTGGCAGAATTTTTGCGGGTAATGAAACTGGTCTTTGGAGAGTCTGAGAGCAGTGTGATAGCCCATGGTAAATTTTTTAATATGGTTCAATCAGGTGAAGAGAAAACATCCCTGTATATGATCCGTTTGGAGTCGCAGTTGCAGAATGCTATCCAGGCAGGGGTCTTTGCTGAGGAGGAGGCAAACAAGGCACGCCTGCACCAGCTCCTGGTAGGGGCTGATCTCAGTAGAGACCTTCGACACAGGCTTAAGGGGCTTCTCAGGATGTATGCAAATGATCCAGAGAGCCTTCCCGATTTCCTGGAGGTGATCAGGATGATAAGGGAGGAGGAGGATTGGGAGGACACTTATATTAAACAGAAGCGGCCCAGAAGAGCTGAGCCAGTGTTGGAGAGGGCACCCAGTCCAGTGACATTTCAGCCCCCCCCACCAATAATGATCAACAATACTGACGGCGATGTGATAGAGATAGATGACTCTCCGGATGATTCAGATGACGATGTGATCTTGGTGGAGCCTGAGGACCCACCACTGCCATACGCAAGTGCCGCCCCCGTTGCAGGCAGGGCTGTTCCCGAGGACCAAGTGGTGGTCATTGAGTCCCCCCCCATTTCTGAGATTCAGTCTCCTTCCACCAGCAGTGGTTCTGGGCGTCCGAACAATAGTTTGGGGGAGGTGCGTAGAACCAGGAAGCGGAGACACGCAGTTCACTGCCCCGTTTGTGGCGAGGAGGGCCACTCTGAAGAAGCCTGTGAGGCCGCAAGGGCCCCCCCCGTCTTATGAGTTTGTCGCCGTGCAGGACGTGCCCCAACCTGAGGAACCGAGGGCAAGAGAGGCTATTTTTGGACCCTTTTTCTTCTGTGAGCCACAGTAAGATGCTCTCCTCCAGCCTCGAATTAACCCTTACCTGTATTCAGAGTTCAATGACGGAGAAGTTGGGGGGACAGACTTGTAAATGCATGAAGAAATCCACAAAGTGGCTTTCTTTTGCGGGTAGAGAAAGGGTCTTCAACACCAGGACAGTAGAGAGAAATGGTCTGATCTTTTGCGGGTAGAGAAAGGGTCTTCAACACCAGGACAGTAGAGAGAAATGGCCTGATCCATCTGTGGCCCTGTTCCCTTTCCCCACTGCCTGAATCTACTTTCTGTGTGCACCCATCCCCTTGGTGAACTTATTCTCTTTGTGAAAGTGCTATTGTTCTCTGTTCAATCTTCAAGTAAGAAAAAAAGCTATTTAACAAAGTAAAAATTATCCAGAACTCTCTACCCTGTGTACCAATTATCAGCCCTTTGGTGACTATCCTGCTAAATACTTCTCTGTACCTATGTTCCTAGATAGGAATGTGTATAGACAAAAGTGATCGAATAGAAGTGTTGTTCTATATGCTGTATTTTTTCACCAAAATGTATGTTGTGGCCTTCTGTGTCAATAAATATATACAATGTGTCAGCATCTACTTTAATGTCTCTGCGGAATTATTTTAGGAAGTCAAGGAAAAGAGGGAAATATAGTGAGAAGGTATATAGGGGCAGAATTATAGTCTGAAGTGTTCTGCTTTTAATAAGCTTTTAACTTGCAGATGAGAAAAAAAGCCAGGCCTGGTGGCCTAGCTCTGTAGTGGCAGCTATCTGGGAGCCGGAGGCAGGCCGATCCTGAGTTCAAGGTCTCCTTGAGCAATAGAGTGAGCTCAAAGTCAGACTGGTAAAGTCACTTAGAGCTGTCTTAAAATTAAAAGAAAAGAATTGGGGCTGTAACTCAATGACAGAGCACTTGGTGAGACATCATAAAGATACAGGCTTAATCCCCAACACACACACACACACACACACACACACACACACACACGTGCACACACACATACACGAAGAAAGAAAACTAAATACAGAGGACTGGACTGTTTAGCAAGCATAAAGCTCCAGGCTCAATACCCACCACACACACACACACGAACACACGCACGCACGCACACGAAGAAAGAAAAAGAAATACAGAACACTGTTTAGCATGCATAAAGCTCTAGGTTTAATTCCCACCACACACAGACACATACATAGACACACAAAGATAAACAAACAAACCATCAAATAAATGCAGAGCACTTGTTTAACAAGCATACAGCTCTAGGCTCAATACCAGCGCGCGCGCGCGCGTGTGTGTGTGTGTGTGTGTGTGTGTGTGTGTGTGTGTGTGTGTGCACTCACACAAAGAAAGAAAAAGAAATAGGCTAAATAAATCTTCTAAAGCAAAGGATCCCTTTGCCACAGCTGACCAAGTTCCCTGGCCTGTGGAGCCAAAGGACGGCCTATACTGACTGACAAGTCTCCACTGCTTTCTTCTCGAATACTCCAGAGATGGATGCAGGAGGAGAAGTCCAGTGCTGAGGGAGGATGTTAATGTGGGAGTTGCAGTGATTCAGATCCTGCTCAGGTCCGGAAGGGCATTTCTCCCTGTGGGTGGCATCTTTGAATTTCTATTGCTGGCATCCTGCTCTCTTCTGCGGGCTGGTACTACCCCCTGCTTCCTCCCTGATTACGGGGGGGGGGGGGGGGGGGGGGGGGGGAGGGGGGAAAGAGAGCATTTGATCTTAGCTTAGCATCAGCAGGGTCTGCCTTTGTCAGTGGCCCAATCCTTATCCTGTGAACTATAGGACATAGGAGCTCAAGAACCCCAAACCCCAATTCAACGTAAGATCACTTTCAATCCAGTTCATTCATACAGAGGCAAAGGTCAAAGGTCAGCAATCTCCTTGTCAGGGCAAGGCAATATGGAGAGAGTGAAATGGATTCATGCATTTGAGTCCCTGAGAGTTTCTCATGTAGGAAATACGGGTCCCACAGAACTGAGAGAATAAGAGTATGCACAGTGCTTTATGAGCCAGGGGACAGGAAAGGAGGGTTAGGAAGACTCACATGGAGATTGGTAGGGACAGAAATCTTGGTAGGAATAGCAGACATGGGGGTTCATTTAAAAATCTGGTCCTCGCTGAACCAAGATTGGCCCAGATTTGTCTTTGAGGCAGGAATCAGGCATGCCATTTTGCTAGCATTTGATGGTCCACTTAGAAGTGGCAAGAGGTCCTGGGCTGAGACCTGGAGGATGCAACAGGCATCAAGAGCTGCCTACAAGAGGTTTTGTTCAGAATCTGACTTTTTCTAGAATGGCCACCTCACCACCTCCTAGTTTCTCACCCTTGCTCCATTTCATGACCCCACGATCTGTCCTTACAATCACTACTGTCCTGTAGCCTGCAGCCATGTTCCCCAGCATTCATTTCAAAAAACAAACAAACAAACAAACAAACAAAATCCTTGAGCCTCAGACACTCTGGCTCGCTACTGCTTCTGATCCTTTGGTTTAGAAGTCAGTTTTGAACAAAGATCCAAGAGGGCCAGCCTTTGCCTCCCTCCAAAGCACACATGAATTCCTGGAAGCCACTATACTCTTCAGAGCCAGAGAGGTGACTTCCTGTGCTCCTAGGAGGAAGTTGCCCCTTAAGCCACTGGAGCTTCCAATGGCCTCCAGTTTGCATAAGTTTGAACTCATTTTTCACCTACCCCTCTGGTATTACTTCCCTCAATGATGTGCCAAGACACTCGATCAAAGGAACTTGCGGAATACTTTGTCTTGGCTCACAGTGTGGCAGTGCAGTCCACCGCAGTGGAGAAGGCATGGCAGCAGGAGCCCCAGGCACTCGGTCCGCTGCACCTGCAGTCAGGAAGCAGAGAGAGAGAGAGAGAGGTGATGACTGTTGCTCCTCTGATTTTTTTAATTTGGGACTTTAGCCCATGGGATGGATGGTGCTGCCCACCAGCAGGATGGGTCTTCCCTCTGCAGCTGAACTTTTCTGGAAACCCAATCAGAGGCATAACTAGATGTGTGTTTCCATGGTGATTCTAAATCCAGTCAGGTTGACAATGGAGACTAAGCATGACATAGTCCCTTGCTGAATACCTACCTGTCCCCAATGTCTAGCACAGTTACCCAAATAGTTCTATGTTGCAGATCAACTTTGTTCAACTCCGCTCTTGAAATACTTGTTGAATGATTGGTCCAAAGGCATAGCTTATGCTGCTAGCATTGTTTTTGGGCCCCAGGAAGGGTAAAAACACAGAAAAGGAAAAGAAACAAGCCCTGGATGTTCATGACCCTCCTCACTGCAGCTAGAGCAGTGCTTTAAAAAAAAATCCACTCTGGGCTGAGTGGTGATGGCAAACGCAGGAGCAGGCAGGTCTCTGTGAGTTCGAGGCCAGCCTGGTCTACAGAGCACAGCCCAGGACAGGCACCAAAGCTACAAAGAGAAACCCTGCCTTGAAAAACTGAAAAAAAGAAATCTGTTCTGCGATTCTTTGTCCTTTCTCATGCACTCCCCAGGCTCTGTTGTGCACATTGCTTAATTTTTTCATTTTGCTAACCTGAAACTCCTTCCTTCTTCCTTCCTTCCTCCCTCCTTCCTTCCTCTCTCTCTGTCTTTCTCTTTTCATTTTATGATACACCATCCTTTCCTTTATGTAAGAAAAATCCACTTTTCTTGGCTTGGATAATCGAATACTCAAATAAGACCACCGAGATCACTAAACAAAGGTGACTAGGGAGGGCGTTTGAACTATAATTCCCTTCCTTTCAAGCTATGGGCTTCTTCTTTCTCTTCTGCCTCTACCCTTACCAGTCAGTACAGGCTGAAAATCGTTTTTTTTCTTGTCAGAAGCACCGGGCCTCTAAGTGGCCTTTTATATGGTCTCGCTCCTTCCCGGAATCTTTTCCCTTGGTTTCCATGGCACCCTTCTTTCATGGCTCCCTCCCCTCTGGCTTTCTGGGTGCTCTCTTCTCTGTTCCTTTTGCTTTTTTTTCTCTTCTTGACCTTTACATAATTGCAGTAAAAATTGAATCACCATGACCACTGGAAATTTTAAGAGTTGTTTGCCATGGCAAAGCAATTTCAAGTCCTTTAACTACACCCACTCAGTGCCAATCTCATACCAATTTTATAAAATAATCAAGCCTATGATCTCATTTCTTTAATGACAAAACAGAAGGAACATCATAGAAACTCACCTGGAACTGTGAGGCTTGCAAGTTGGGAAACTTGGGAGTCGAATGAGCCTTTCTAGGCCACTGGAAAACACAGGTATTTACATTATAGTTCCTAACAGTAGCGAAATTTACAGTTATGAAGTCGCAATGGAAATAGTTTTAGGGTTGGGGTCACCTCAGCATGAGGGACTGCACTTCACAGCTTCAGGAAGGTTGAGAACCTCGGCTCTAGGGTGGCTGACTCCAAAGCCTGGACCCTTTCCCTGACTCGTGGGCCCGCAGCACACTGGCATGTGGTGTGTCTTTTTACATACAAGGAAACGTACGTCTGTAAGGCTTGCTGTTGGCACATGTGCTTTGACCATGAGATTAACACAGGGTTAACCCATGGCAGGCTCTAGAAAAAAGACACCTGCTGGGTTCGAATACATTACTTAATCTGCTATGGAAAGAAGGACATAAGAAATGAAAAGCTGCCCCTGTTAACCACTCTGTGCTTGCTTACTGTTCATTTGAAGGTGTAATAGTCAGGCTCCTCAAGCTCCACTGAGCCTGGTTCCTAACAGTCCTGATAGTCTGCTCAGGAATGCCTGGGGTTTGCTGAGCATGGTAGGAGAATAAGATGGTATTGATTGACTGCCACAGTGGATTCCTGGGCCAAACCAACACTGCCCCCACTCCATGCATGACAGGAGGTGTGTTTTGTGCTTCCGTGGGTGAATTCTCCTGTTCTTGCATGTTAAAGGCTTCCCGCGTCTTTTTAGACTGCTCAAAGCCATTGAAGCCGTTACCCTCAGCAATGTGTGATGGGGGCAGGGGTGGGGGAACTGATATTAGAGTGACCCAGAACTTCCCCAGTACATGGCAGGAAGGAGGCATGGCTGGGGTCTGATGGGTCCTTACTAACCAGCTAAGTATGTGTTGCCACAACCAGGGATCCCAGGGACAGGCTAAGACAGTGCAGAATCCTAGCTAGCTAGGGCTAAAAGATTTTGAAGGTATACACGGCCTGATGAAGTGCAAAGACTCCTTCTCTTGTAGGCCTTAACCAAGGAAAAATCAAGGAGTAGAAGAGAGTAGTAAAGCAGTCGTCGGCACACTGTGAGAGTTGTTTTAATTTATAAACATCCACCTGGGAATGGTGGTGTCCTCGTAGGTTACATTTTATACTAGGTGTTTATAGTATGCCATTGTCCCCCTCCTCTTTTTGATTTTTCTTTTTCTTTTTGATTTTTCAAGGCAGGGTTTTCCTGTGTAACTTTTGGAGCCTGTTTTGTAACTTGCTCTGTAGACCAGACTGGCCTTGAACTCATAGAGATCCACCTGCCTCTGTGTTGCAGGATGCTACTAGTTCATTTCCTGATCGCCCTGACTTGAAACAATAACACAGAAGCTATATTATTCAAATCACTGCTTGGC